ACGCTGCCGTAGGCCAGCCTGCTTCCTTATTCTAGCCATTACTTAGCAAATAATTTTTTCACTGTAGTTCATGAAATGCTTCCTCCTAAGAGGAATCTATAGGACGGATATTTGGGGGGAGGGAAGTAGAGCTAAATTCTTAATTTCTTCTGGCATATTCTTCCTTGCCCTAGATGGGTATGTTTGATCACTGGTGCTTTTGCCCATCCATGTCATGACTGAGGTAGGAGGTTTGAAGAAGGGACAGAAATGGCTGACAATCCAATATTGCCATCTGAATCCTTAAAAGCAAATGGAAAAAAACTTACCACCTTCTGCCATTTAGATATTTCAAATGCTTAAACATATTAGAACATCTTTTTCCCCGCAAACAAGCTAGAATTGTAGAATGAGTGCTTCGGGACAGCAGCAACTGAGGGAGGTCTGCAGCAACCTGCTGCAGAAGCAGTGGTGGTGATGGACCACACTTGCATAAGCTTAGCACCTTCGCAGGAGAGACAGGCTTCTCTGCTGCACCTCCTACTGCTGCCAGTCCCACACGCTCAGATTTCCAGCACAGCGGAGCCGAGTGATGAGATGTAATGAAACGTGTTGCTGTGCGTCTCTGTTGCATGCCTGATGTCCTATTAGCTGGAAGGCTGAAGGCATCGTGCTGTCAAAGAAGTAGATGTGTCATTATGCAATAATACGTACTCCAGGGTTTTACTGCAGTTATTCAGTGTCTTCAGAATTTACATACCCTTCTGCCATAAATTAGTTATATGAACAGGCTGGCATCTGTAGTCTAATATCCTGGCTTTATCTGTTCTCCACGAGTCTGTCCACTGGGGCTAAATACTGCCAGTAGTAGTGTTAAGCTTCTATCAGATTATCAGATGAAGACCTCTGCCAGTCCAGGAACTTCACCTGTCTAAAAGTAAAATTCTCTTCAACATTAATATCCTCCCCCATCCGTATACGGCAGAAATCTTGTGAAAGCAGAGCTATAACCAAGGCAGTAAGAGCTTGCACCCTAAGCAATCTGACAATTCATTTAGAAAAGTACCTCGTTGCTTTCATTGCATTTAATACGATTCTTCCTGCTGTGAAGATTCATGGAAATAGTCAAATGCAATGAAAGTGTTTTCCACCGTGATGATTGGGGCGAGGAAAGCAGATGACACTGGTTTGCTGGAGGGCGCAGATCAGATCTGCCGTTGTGGTACTCAAAACACAGCGTGATGGAAAGGAAGCTACCAGCCTCCTGCTCAATTTGTTTTGCTGCTAGATAAGCAATGGCTTCGAGGTTTTTCCCAAAACCTTCCTTAGATGTCTACAACGCTGGAATTTAAGTGTGTAGAGGCAGCTGAGCTCTTGTGTAAGCTTAGCAGAGATGCAGAAATCCTGCCCGAGACCCGGCCCAGACCGTTGGGCATTCACAGGCCGGAGGTCCCACCCAGAGAAGTGGGGTCACCTCAGTGGTCCTCCCCTCTCTCTTCCACGCTGCCCCATTTTCAGCTCTTCATCTCTGCCATGCGCTAAAGCTTCGGCAAATGCCATTTTTTTCTCATTTTAATGTTCTTGTAAATCAGGAACCTGGGAAAGGGCTCCAGGTCTGGCTGAAGGTGCAGTTGCGTTCCTTCCTTTCTAACACAACTTAATATCCTAGGGTGATTTAAATATTTATTATCGGTGATTAAGATATTACTACAGCTTTATTAATTTCATTAGAGAATAAGCTACTGTTAAAGCCTAGTCACAAAAGCAAACAGTAGCATACAAATCTTTCTGATTGCCATTAATAAGGAAAAGGCACAGATCATGGGCAAGCATTGCACTTTTTTTTTTGGTGGCACAAGTCAGGTTTTTACCACTTAGTGTCCAGACAAAAATACTGCCTTGAATTTGGAACCTCAGATTTCAAAAGAAAACCCAGAAAAATCTGTTTTCGAGTGCTTTTACACCCCAGGACTATCATGTTTTCTGGAATACTGTATTTGTGTGGGTTTTATGGCGTGTAACGCTCGCATGTTACCGTTTGGCAGGTGGACAGTGCCATGTCCCTTATCCAAGCAGCCAAGAACCTGATGAACGCGGTGGTGCAAACCGTGAAGGCTTCCTACGTGGCATCAACCAAGTACCAGAAGTCCCAGGGCATGGCTTCGCTCAATCTTCCCGCCGTCTCTTGGAAGATGAAGGCTCCGGAGAAGAAACCCCTGGTCAAGAGGGAGAAACAAGACGAAACCCAAACTAAAATCAAGAGAGCGTCCCAGAAGAAACACGTTAACCCGGTGCAGGCTCTCAGTGAATTCAAGGCGATGGAGAGTATTTAAAGAGAGGTCTCTGTCTTGGTTATTTTTTTTCTCTAGCCCACTACTGCTACTTCCAGAACTCTACTTTTAATATTCTAAGGATTTTTCAAAAGTTTACTATTCCTCAAAATGTATTTACTTAATATAATTTTGATAACTTTGTTTAGATTGTGTGGGGAAATACTCAAATTTATAAGTCCTATCAGTATAGCTTCAGCCTGCGGAAGTGTGTTAATTTAGATTGCTTTTAGATTTCAGGGGTGTATTTCTAGCGGAAAATTATTTTGTATAATCTTGCTTTAAATAAAATATTCTATAACCAAAGAGGATTTTACGGTAACACTAACGGTTAACACTAATAGTTGAATCATGCTACTCAGAGACTGCAGTTTTTCATTGTGATCAAGAGAGGAAAATTAGATCTTTTCACTCAAAAAAAAAAAAAAATAAAAAAAAATTAAAGTATTGTATGT